TTCCACTACACTTGCCTTGGTCCATCTCACTGTGTTTCCAGCCGCTAAGGGCCGCCTTATTACACTCTACAAGGGCCTGATATCCACTTACGAGGACATTATACTGCCGGTGTTGTATTGAAATTTAAAACCAATGTCCTCATATGTGGATATCAGGCCCTTGTAGAGCAAAATCAGGTAAAAAGATAATTCTTTGTTTTTATATTCATCAGGTCCTAATCAGCACAAACAGCAAAGAAAAGTTAAAAATGCATGCCATGAAAGAGTTCAGGTCTTAGGAGGTTAAAGGTACTTGAAGGAGACAATGATATAATCATACTTTGGTCCATCCATCTCTAGGTACTGCTGGACCAGTTTTTCAACCACATTACTCCACGGTACCACAGCCTTCTGCATGATCTCCAGCACGGCATCAACCATCAGCTGGAAGAGAACACCATGATTTTACAGTTCCCACTGGCTGCTAGGCTGATCTTTCACTCAAATATTTGTGCACATTAATTGTCTCGTTGTGTAGCACGTAACGGTAACAGTCACCTACATCAGTGTCAGTCATGCAGCCGAGCACAGCCACTGCTTTAGCTTCCCATTCAGTGAAAAGTGTCGTGGTCTGAGAACTGCAGCGTTCCAGCAAATCCTAGTGAAGATTAGGGGGAGAAACACAAACACCATTGCGTATTTGATAAACTAGCTCCTCATGTGCATGAGGTTACAATTGAGTTTTACCTTGATGTATTGCAGAAGTAGCTCATCAAAAGGAATCTTGTGTTCTTCAGTGTACGGCCTGATGCTGTTTTCCACTGTGGCGGCGATTAGCTCCGGAGCCGCCACTTTGTCCAGCATGAAAAATGCCACACTCCACACAGTCTTCTTTTAAATTGTGAAAGAAGATAAAGCAGTAAACATCAAGAAAACACATCCTCTACAAAAAATAATGCTCCAGTAGCCAGCTTCAGAAGCTGGGGATCAGACCACCAGGGCCCCCACTCCTTGCCGCTGACCCAGACACCCAGACACAGCAACCGACCCCCTACAACAGGGTAGATATTAAAAAAAGACAAACCTTTTCAAAGACCGAAAGGGAAAGTGAGCAGTTGTATTTCTGATGTAGGTCCAGCAGCTGACGTAGGTTGGACACCAGGGATTTGAGGTTTTCCACCTCTTCTACACAATTACTGTTATCCTTAAAAAAACAAAAGAAACAAACAAACAAAAAAAAAAACAATCAATCAAAAAAATTATCAGGAAATTAAACAAAACATCATATTAATTAAGCTGCATTTTATTGAAACCGGTAGAGCCTAAAAACAAAACAAAAACCTACAGATTTCATCCATGTCCATAAAGAGGGCAGTCCAAGCACAGCCAGGTCCAACCCATTCTGAGGCCAAGCACGCTGAAAACAAATAATGTGCATTTAGTGCAAGACTGCTCAAAGGCCTATTCTGAGACAGGGAAATATCTGTGTCCACTTAACAACATAATAAGATAAAGCTGAAATACTTTTCCCAGTTTATACAAATAAGTCCATAAAAGAACTCATTTAAATTAGAGGTCTCTAAAGTTGTGGATGACTTCAGAAGCCTGGTTTTATTTAATCATTTCAGATCAATATCCTTTTGTCTTTACCTTTTCTGTTAACTCCAGATTTCTTGCTTTCTGCTCGAGCCACTTTGCCAGGATTCTCTGTAGGGACATGGAGGCAGTGTCTTTATTAAGCATACCACTACACGTTAGAGACAATAGTATTTAGGAATGCAGGACCTTATCCTACCTGTCCTTGTGGTAACACCCTCCTCACAAAGGGAACAAAAACTGTCTTGAACCACAGGCAGAGATCCTGTGAGGGCAGGTCCTCTGGGATGGCACTGAGGATGGCTTCAAGGCTGCTCTCACTGAACTTGGTTGCAATCTGACCCTGTCACAAAACATCACAACACACCTTAACGCCATTCCCGAAACAATAACCACTGTTTTTTATTTAACCGGTGGATTTAATGATGTATGAAAAGTTTCTACACATATAAATGTGGTGATATAATAATGACCTCATATCTGAGCCAAAGAAGCTGTGCACCCTTCATGTCTCCTTCTCTTAGATGGCA